TTTGCATGGCAAAGTAATATATTAATGCTTGCGGTACACCACGTAGGTAGTTCTAAACAAGAAGTGTTGTTGTTGGTTGAAGATACGTTTCGATTGAGTTGCTTCAATCGTCTTCAGGAGAATAATATCTGGAACTACCATACCTGTAGTTTCAAGAGATTCCTCACCTAGTTTGAGGTAATAGAATAAGTCTTCTCAAAAAAGCTGTGAGGTTCTCTGTGAGGTCCTCTGTATAAAATATTATACAAAATATTTTTACCTAATGTGTAATTTATCAAATAAAAACCAGTTCTCATTTTAAGTACAGTGCTCTATAAATTCCAATGTGAATACCTTTCTCTTTGACATATTCTTTTAAATAAAATTTATACTAAAATTAATACATTAAAAATATTCATAAAATTTCTAGTTATACTACAGTAATTCTACACAGTTATTGTAGTGATGTAGTAAAATTACATTCAAAAGGTCTGCATGATTCAGTATTTAAATGGTGTTGTAATTAGGAATTTTGAAAAAGCTTTGATAGAATTTTAAATATATTAGATTTGTACTAGAGGTTTAAAAAAAGTAAAAAAACAAGCATCAAAATAACTTAAATTATGCATGATAGTAGTAACAAGTACAAATAAAATGCGGTAAAGCTGAAACAAATGCATAAGGACAAGATTAGACTAATAACTGTATGAAGCCATTAACACCTGTTATGAGTTATTTGCAAAAATGTAAAACTGCGATATTCTGTCACACAGTACTAGCATCGATACCTTTGCTTTACTCAGTTCATTTTAAATGTGTTGTATTGCACATAAAGTGCAGACACTGTGGGTTCATACCGTATGTTTTTTGATGTTCTATTTTTAGATTTTTGTATGTCAAGCTTTCAATTCTTAACAAAGATAGAAAGAAGTTGTTCTGCAATAACGAGTCTTATGAATATATATTGCAGATGATTTGCATACAGTGTTTTTGGATTTAGCATAGTGGTATTTAAAGTCATAGTAATTTTTTTGCGCTTAACTTTATCTACATTATTCATAATAACACTTTGCTCTTTACCATCCATTAAATTTAATTTTTAAAATTAAATTGACAGTGTGGATCGTGATTTAGCGCAGAGGGAATGGTGCGGTTTCCCAACCTCAATGTCAGGATTTCAATCCTTCGCTGTGCATTTCGCTTGTGTCGTTAAAAGTAAGACACTTTTTCTGCGCCGCTTCTGTCCACCCAGGAGTTAAAATGGGTACCTGGTGGGGTTGCCTGCTACTCCGCCAATATGGCAGCAACACCATTTGGTTCCAATGACCAGGGAAAAACTAACAGCGCTTTGTAACTACAAGGAATAGTGCTAAAACAACAAGTAACATATATTGCTCTGATAAAGAATGGTATATCTCCCAAATAATTTTTTTCTTCAAATTTATGATCCTTTCAACCTTTTTTATAAATTTCTCATCAAATTCTTAAGTTTTCTTAATCATGTATTGTCATGATGATATGCAATAATTTATCTTGCATGCTATATTTTTTTCAAATATCAATCAATAAATAATTATTTTTACTATTGTTATATTATAATTCATTATTTTTTAAAGTACAATATGGTATTTACTGTACTTTCATTATTATGTTTAAAGATGTACTGTCCCTTGCAAAAAAAAACAAAAAATCATAAAAATCGTTATTAAAATTTACTTGCCCATTTTGAAGTAATATTAAAATTAGCAACTTGTACATAGTGTATTTAAATAAATGCTTGCCCATAAAAACCATCATTTTACAGCGAAAGAATGATAGAAACACTTCCAGTCACTGGAAGTGTTTTAATATCTGTATTATAATTATCCAGTTAAAAAATCAGGGAACACATTTTTTTAATTAAATAATTTCTATGCTTAAGTTAATATTAAATGTTACTGCAAAATGAGCAAGTTAATTTAAAAATTATTTTTTTTATGATTTTGGTCATTTTCAAAGGAGAGTACATCTTCAATAAATCATGTTATAAATCCAGTCTTTGAGCATTCAGACTAGATAGCATAAATAATAGAATTTCACATACTTATATATAATATATTATTGGTTAACTATTGATACATATTAAAAGAACTAAACTATATTATTACACCAATTTTGAAATTATAAATTATTTGTAAACTATAAAAAAAATTGATGGAAACTGCGTAGAGTGAAAAGTCACCTTTAATATATTATCTAGGTTACGTTTTAATGATATGCATGTTTTTCCATATTTTATATTACTGGCTATAATTGTTGTTCATATTCCAGAATTGTTTTTTCTGTTAGTTACCTTTATTATAGCTTCTAATTTGCTCTCAACCATCTGTATCTAGGTTATTTATGCTTACTACCGTTATTTGTGTCCGTAAAGTAAAATCTTCCAACCGTATTAAATGTTGTTTGTATAATTTTCCACTTAATGCACTGATGATTAAATTCCTTTTGATGTCTGTAAGCTTGCTTGTGAAGACTTGCTTCATGTTACTGAAGATATATAGGTGTGTCTCTATAAACACAACCGCTTATCTTAACATATGGAATGCAGTTGGTGCAGTAGTTGCGTTTCGGTCTTAGTTTTAGTCATCGCCGTAAACACAGCTACGCATTGAAAATGCTGCGTAACGATTTCATTCAAACCTGGCTTTAGTCTGAACTCAAAATTATTTTAAGAAAATGTCTGGTGCATGCAGAATGGTTATCTAGGTTATTTATGCTTACTACAGTTATTTGTGTCCATAAAGTAAAATCTTCCAACTGTATTAAATGTTGTTTGTATAAATTTTCCACTTATTCCTTTTAATGTCTGTAATCTTGTTTGTGAAGACTTGCTTCATGTTAGATATATAGGTGTGTCTCTATAAACACAACCGCTTATCTTAACACATGGGATGCAGTTGGTGCAGCAGTCGCGTTTCGGTCTCAGTTTTAGTCATCGCCGTAAACACAGCTACGCTTTGATAATGCTGCGTATTGGTTTCATTTAAACCAGGCTTTAGTCTGAACTCAAAATTATTTTAGGAAAATGTCTGGTGCATGCAGAATGGTATCCATTATATGAGGAAATATATTAAGCAGTAACTGTACCTTATGTTGTTGCTTCAATGGAGTTCCTATCTATTTTTCTATGAAATTTAACTGTGAGTTTACTGTAGTCATTTTCATCCTGCAACCTGAATGCACTGGCACAGATTTCTTAGATAGATTCCTCACTTATTCCTTCGTCTTTCCCACAACTATTCCACACTAACACTTTAGTGTATTCATCCCCTTCCTCACTGCCTTGTCCATGGGCGTATGCAGGGGTGCGGGGAGTGGGGCTTAGAAAATACTAAAAATTACATTGTAATAGGGATATGGTTCTGCATTATGCGATTTAGTTCTGCATTGTCATTTTCGCACCATCTCTTCACCTGCCCCTGCCCCAAGGCTGAGACCAGCACGCACTACTGTTTTCTCTTTTTTTTGTGATTCTTCCCAAGTATTAAGTCACTTTTTTGAAACATTTTCAGTTATTATTTTTAATTTACACTTTATATAAATTGTCAATAATAATATGAATTGTGATTGATGTTAACATTACAGCTTGGTTTTTGTCATCATTATTGTTACAGTATTCATTAACATTCAATAACATGTTAAACTGAAGCTTTTATTATTGCAAGTTAAATCTTTGTTGATGCATTGCATATTTTATGATGTCTATTAATTAAATATTCAACTTGATTGCTTACTGTTTGTTGACATTCTGTACTTGCTCTTGTTTGTTTTACACATTGAAATCCACAATGCTGTAACCTATTATTATGCTTATTTCCAATACAGTAGCCCACATGTGGGTCTTCACTACACAAATGCATTATGGGTGCACCTGAGCAAGGTGTTGTGGGTAGTACAAAAGCTGTTTATGGCTATGTTCACAAACAACAATGTTAATCAAGTGGTGTGAACTTGTATGCGGCGTAGCGAACACCAATATCAGTGCGCATTCACTGACGTAGAGTACAATAATCCATTAATAGACCCCAGATAATCTTACGACACTGAGACGCGACAGTTATTCATCAGTGATTTTGAACTCGACCAAGATTTGACCAATCACAATAAGCCTAGATGTAAACAGGAAATATAATGTGCGATTACGAATATGAATATTTCATGCGAATACTTACGTTGGCGTTACGTTAATTGCTCAGTCTTACTTAGTTATGACCTTGGATTAACGCATGCCCAGTGTTGGATACGCCTGGTGTATAGTACCTCCCAGGGCTGAACGCAGTCTCTGTCACTGATAATGCAAATTTTAAGTATTTATAATATAAGAAACAAATCGCAGTTCTTGACACAATTCAGTGATGCAACTGTAAAAGGCATATTACTGCACAGACGACATGCACATGTACCATAAATCTTCTGATTGACACCCTCGGTCACTTTGTTTCGTTTGGGTGGGTTACAATGGTAGATACAGATATTTGGAATAGAGGGGAGGCCACAGGGAGGGACTTTCATTGATGTAGGGTCTAGACCAAGATGGTTAGGGCTGAGGTAAAATTATTGCACCTCTAGATGGCCGAAAATTACACTCATGGCTTTTTTCTCCAATTTTTTTAAATAATTTCGAAAAATTTAGTGGGGGCCGTGCAAACTGGCCTTCCTCCCTGGAACTTTGTATTCCAATATTTAACCCCACTGGCTTAATTAATATTTTTATAAATTGCAAATTTTTATTATTTGTTCTATTTTCAAATTGAAATTTGGAACTGACAATTTTTTGTCGGGGTCTGGGGACCTGCCACAGTGCAGAGCGAAACTGAGTGACAAATAGAGTACTAGGTTTCGCTCAGAAGCTTTATGGTATAATACAAAATGTAGTGCAATACTGTTCACATCTGTGGGTTATTGATTGTTATAGTGTCACACAGTATAGTGTACATATCAAATTCACTTTGTCCACAAATTGTTTTAATTTTTTTTGACAGGGTCTGATCTTCTCTTCCTGGTGGATCTTCTATTTTGGCCTACTCAGCACTTTTGTCCCTACCTACGCATGGCTCCTCCTCATGCGAGGTTTAGCAGGTTTTGGGATTGGGGGCGCTCCCCAAGCGTAAGTTGATCACTATGTTTGCATTGTATTCACCGGGTTTCTAACAATACTTTTTCCCTTTTATTCTCAAATTTGATCTATTATCAGTATTTCATTGAAACATTTTTGCATAATTTTAGAGATACCAAGTATTAGATTAGTTTTTACTGTACATCTCAATTTTATCATTTGAAAAAAATATCCCTGTACAATCTCTACTGTACATACGGTACCATAACATATTTCTGTTTTGATTGGTTCTTTTTTTTTTCTTACGGGTATACCAGTAAAAATTTATTTCATATTTTTATTTCATATCTGTATTATGTGTATGTTGTCATTTCAAGTTTAATTTATGGTTACTTCATTATTTTCCATCTTTTATTGGTTGAATTTGGAATAAATTATAAACTGACTTGCACGCACTTGGTATTGAAATAAAAACATCATTTCTATACTGAATAGATAAAAGCTTATACGATGCTAACTTTGGAGTTTGTTGCTGCCAGTATTGGACCCTTATACAAAAGACCAGATTTCCAAGCTCACTTTAATGATAACAATAATTGAATAATTAATACTCAAATTCTTTCAAAATTATATATTTTTTTACCTGAGCGTGTTAAAATGGGCACTCACTGCGACGATGCTCGTTGGCCGACGTGATTCTGTGGGCAACGCAATGCGACGACGTGCGTAACAGATTGTTTTTAATGACGATCTTTTAAGACTGCCACCGGCAATCAGCAGATAGTGTCGCGTAGTCTAGCGCTCACAGGTAGTAGATTTGGATTCGTCTTACAGCGGTCACACGATGCAGTGAGTGCCTGACTTCAGTCGATTCCCACAGACATAGCATACTGTAAATCCTCAAATTGAAGCCCAGGGGGCTTAATCTCAAGAAGACCATCTCGAATTGAAGCCCCCTCTTTAGTTGGCAAAATTAGCCTCAAAAAGAAGCCCATCTCAAAATTTCAAGAAAACATAGACTTTTGTTCGAAATAGTACAATATATAGGTGGTTTAATGCCAGTTAATACATTCCATGATACAGATTAATGTTACAGTGGCCTTATTTATTGTTTTTTAGTACAAATTCCCAAAGTTTACAGCATTCATTTTGAAAAGAAGCCCCCCTCTTTACTTTGCAAAAGTAGTCTCAAAAAGAAGCCAATCCAAATTTTGCAAAAAAAAAAGCCCAGAGCTTCAATTCAAGGTTTTACAGTATGCCCTTGATTTTAAATGTGTTCAGATAGTCACTCGCCTTTTAAGAATAAGGCCCTTGGTTCTAGTCTACTTTACCAGAGACTTATCTTATACCTTGTTTAGCGAACCCGCCGAATGCAAATATTGATGATTTCAAATAAAAATCAAATTTTATTTTTGGCCAATTAGCACACCCACTGCCACGAAAAAGTGTAAACTTCAGAAAAAATAAAAGTTTTTCTTAATTTTTATTAAGCCCTCCGCTGACTTAAAATCTCCAAAGATAAGATATGTATTTCTTCCTAATTATATAAATTGGAAGCATTTAACCATCCTATTTTACATTCACCATTAAAATTTTATTTTTATTTTCTCCTCCATGATGGCTGGATGTTTTTGGCAAACCTATTTGCTAAACAAGAAAACAAAATTTTATTTTTATTTTTATTCCGCCCTCCTCCAATGGTCCTCAAATAAGTACGCAAAACAAGAAATAAAATAAGTCTCGCCTTATCTTCATTCCCAAAACATAACATCGTAACATCATAGTATAATTTTTTTTTAATGGTAATTCTCATGTTTTTAGGTTGGAATGATGTCCTTTCTTGAAAAGAAAATAATTTAATTCGCCTTTACAAAATAATTAGTTTTTTAAATAGTTGTCTTGTACAATTTTTAGGTTTTCTTGTATCTTTATTAGGAGCCTGTTTGTATTTTGGGGAGTGTATATTTTGTATTGTCTATTTTTTGTATATTTGTTAATGGTTATATTCTTCTCAAATCATATTACAACTAGAATTTAAATATAAAATGGCTTTTTTCCTTTTCTATGGTGTGGGGGATATTTTTAGTAGAAAACAAACTCTGTAGTGACAGGGTTTGAACACTTAGTCCCTGTGAATGGAAGGCAGATATGGAATCTGTTTGCCTACTCCATGGTGATCTTACATTAGCCTTGGCACTCCTTTCCTTATGGCTTCATTTTCCTTCCCTTGGCTCTGCCTACCAAATAGCCCTCAATTTCTTACGCCTTCCTACTTTTTTTTTTATGGATTTCCCATTCAACAGTATGCCTCACCCTCCAAAACCACCCTCCTCTAAGCCCTCACCTTGCCTCCCCTTGTAGCTAGTTGGTTGATTTAAGACATCGAGTAAAAACCTTTGTATAAACCCAATAGAAAATTGTTATAAAAGCATTGTTGCCTGTAGAAATTGATGACAGTTTATAAATTACAACCAGCATTTATTATCAGCCATCGTATTAATCTTTAGTCTTGATATTACCATGTTTTACATTTGATAAAACCCAGAAAGAAACCTATTATAGACATTGTACCCTCATTATTCTACCAGCACTTCGCATTTCAAAGTGGTTGAATAGTTTTCACGGCTTCTCAATTGCTAATGATCCTCAATGGATTATTCTAGATTTGTGATTTCAATATCTTCTTCCATGTGTTTCCATCATCATCATTAACTCTCTTCTACATTAACATACTGCTAATCGGTTAATAATATAACAGTTAAAATGTATGGTACATATAGCTGTGTGATAGCTTGCAGTGGCCTATCTAGGAGTCATGAAATTTAGGGAGGAAGGGGAAACAATTTGAAGCAAGGGGCTCAATGATTAAGTAATGTAATGTAATTATTAAGTGAGGTGACTCTATCTTGCAAAATAAGTTGATATGAGGGGATTTTTTAACTATTTAAGCATAATTTTTTTGCTTCAAACATTTCCGGGGCGGGGAGGGCCCCGACTGGAGTGCAAGCTTTTTTTGGGAGGGGGAAGCACCCTAGATATGTGCCACTAGTTGTTTGAATAGTGAGATATAGTGCTTTAGTCATGCCAACAGATTTGAGTGGTTGAGGATTTGAGTTGTTGAGAATTTGTAAGTCATAAGTAAATGGCATCCTGCATTTTTGCATCCAACTACCCTTTTATTTTGTAGCTGTATAGTTGTCATTCTTGTTAATTATTAATATTATAATTTTATTCAAAAATTGTAGTAAATTAATTTGTTAGGATATTTTTGTGTTTGATTTAGTGTTACATTGTATGCTGAATTTCTACCTGCCAAATTCCGAGGACGATGCCTAGTATTCATTGAGGTAAGAGATTCATAAATTATACATTATGAATAAATGATAGTGGTGGATTCAAGTGGGCAGGGGGTGCCTGGCCAGGCAGCCCTTCCCTCCCTAAATTTTTCAAAATTAAAAAAAAAAGATAGCGAAAAAAGGAAAACTATTGAAATTCAAGTTTGAGAGTGCCATTCCTGACCATCTAGAGGTGCCATAATCATAATTTTACTTACCCTCAGCCCCAACCATGGTGGAGCTGAGCCCCTCTATTGCAAAATCCTCCACTGATAGACCAAAATAAACACACAGACCACCTGACCTGAAAATGTAGGGTGCTCTTTTTATTCAGCCTCCATTGAAAATTGTTTGTTGGTACTTTGAAGAAGTGGCTTTGAATTGAAGAGTCTTGGAATTAGAGGGATCTCGAATTAGAAGGCAAAATGTATTACTATGCCAGTTGTAACACTGATTTTGTTTGATTTCGTCAGACCTTCTGGGCCATTGGCGCATGCTTTGAAGTAGTAATTGCATTAGCTGTAATGCCTACGTTAGGATGGAGGTACCTTCTAGCATTCTCAGCACTTCCTGTCCTTATTTTTATTGTCTGTTGTAAGGTAAGTGGTATCAATATCATAATGCAAAGCTCCATAATGCCATTAATTATTATTATTGAAGCTTAAAGCTGACATGACTATATGGTCATTGACCATATATATGTACAGTACATCATGAATGTAAATTGGTATACCACAGTTGGTTTACCAAAGACAATTTTGATAGTGTAAATAGAACTTAAGTCTAGATTCCATAAAATTGCTACACTGCTGCAACAGCAATTGTTGCACTGCATACCACTTGATTTTCTTTTTAAGTATTTAAAATAAAAATAAGGCAATAAAATCTAGGATAAAATTTTTAAGAAAAATTATTGAACTAATACTGGTTCTTTTTGTAGATTTTCCTCTCATTTTTTTAAAATTATGCCAATACTTTTTTGCATTTGATCATATTCAAGGTAGAAAAATAAATAAAAATATATAAAATTAGACAGACAGCCAACAGGCTGTATATGAATGTATTATGACCACTGAAAGTTAAAAATTTATAAACTGCACGAGGCAAAATTCCGAACATCCACACATTACATAAAAATAACAAGCAAGGCGTTAAAAGGCAAGTAACAATGGACAAAAAAGCACAAGTACTAGATATAAAACATAATTAAACTTGCTAGATTAATGTTTATTGATGTAATTTTAATTCAGTGGCTTCCAGAAAGTGCCAGGTATTATGTAGCATGTGGTCAACAGGACAAAGCACAGGCTGTGATCAAACAAATTGCCGTGGAGAACAAAAAACCAATGCCCCTTGGCAATCTCAAGATAGAGGGTGCATCAGTAAGTTGATAATACTGTATATATTAAAAATGTCCTGTATTCCACTCATAAGCCAGAATTGGCTGGTCTCTGTTTTAATCTGAGAGTGTGAAACAAATAAATAAAGAACTAACTAACTAACTCAGGCCCGTACCTAGGATTTTTCTTGGGGGGGGGGGGTGTGGGTTCAAATTTGGAAAAAGTGGAGCCCATTGAAATTGTTAACGATCAACCAATTGCGCTGACCACATAAATAAGAGTTCCATCTTGAAACTTGTATTAAAAGTTGCTACTGTCTATAAAGATTATTTGAACAGGATTATTTTATTTATTTATTTTTTTCTTAAGTTTAAGCAATCTTCTTTCGAGATTTTTTTTTTTGCCATCCAACCCCCCTGGTTACAGGCCTGTATAAACTTGTATTAACAATTTTTCCATTATCTCTGAGGCCACATTAGGCGAGATTTTTTTTAGAATTCCCCTTTTTTTATACCTTGTTAATAATGGTGATTTTGAATATAAATAACATTTTATTTTTGGCCAGTTAGCGCACCCTCCGCCACAAAAAAATGTAAATTTCTATATTTTTATTATGCCTGTTGCTGCCTTGAAATCTCCAAAAGTAAGATGTACTGTATTTCTTCCTAATTATATAAATTTAAAGCATTTAACCAACCCATTACTAAGTTCGCAAAACAAGGTATAAAAATAGTCTCGCCTTACCATTGATACTGTGATTGACCCTGGTGACCTTTATAAATGCTCCGAGTGTGTCTTGTTTCCTTTAAACCAGGTTCTGAAGGAAATTTTTTTTTCAAGTGGTTTTTCTAAGAAACAAAAATGGTGTTTGACGAAAAAGTTTTGGAACAGTGAGATACTGATATATGAATATTTAAAAACTCGGGAAAAGGAGGCATAACCAACATTTTCCTACCTTTTCCCTTAGTTTTTAAATATTCAAAAATCTGAATTTTATTATTTTTTTTATTGATTGATAAAAGATTATGATGACAATGAATAGTCATTGAAGCAATTATATATAAATGACACTTATTTGGTAATAATTGGTCTGATTTTCTTATTGGTCCTCTACTAGGTTTTTTTTTTATGTACTACTGACGTATAATTGTAGCATCCAAGTAAATTATATTCACTGCTGTCTCAAGGATATTTCGATTTGATAATACGGTACCGGTAATAATATGTTGGCAAATGGCTATGGGGATTTTGACACAATGTATGTGTCTTTGGTATTAAGCGTGAAGCCAAGGTGCGTGGTGGATAAGAAGCCCCTCAAATCCAAGAGTCTTTAGTTCAATAATGGCAAAAGTCACATTGTTATTCCTATGATAAAAAATCACTCACCCTTAAAAAATGTTTTTTAAATAATGAAAACAAAATGAATTAATTTATCAAATTATTTTTTCACCTATTTTTAGGCCAAACGAGGGCGGTACAAGGATTTATTCAAAACCAAAGAAGTTGCAATTACCTCAAGTCTGCTCCTTTTTATATGGTAAGATCACTCTCATATATGGATAATTTTATAGAGAAAACACAATTATTAGATGCATAAATAACCATTCTATGCATACTGTACACTTGTCTCTGGGGTTGGGCCTGGGAAAAATCTGCATTGGGGGGGGGGGCAGGCATGTGGACGCACAAACCAACATGCCCAGGTGGGAGGTGGCTTACTCAATTGTAAAAACAATCAATACTAGTACACAAATTGCAACTTTTATAGATGTATCATGTACTAGACTTTCCATACCATTTTCTTTTCTCTCTTCCCCCTTCCTCCTTTTCTTTTCTCTTTTTTTTTTTTGGGGGGGCGAGGGGAACCTGAGTCTGATCATGAACAAAGGATTTTAGTAGTAATAAGTCTGGGAAATTAGTTTTTACTCATTCTAATCGCATCTGATACAAAAAAAAATCTTTATTGTTAAAATTTATCAAAGAAAATATGGTACCTACAAACATTTATTAATTTTTTGTGATTGGTTTGTTCCTCTTTGTGAGGTTTCAAATCTTCATTTTTAAAAAAGTAAATAATTTTCAAATTTAAATTCTCTTAGATTTTTTTCCTCCATTCTGTTTCTATTCTTAGCTACACAACTGCTGTTGTAGTATGCCAGTTGGTATAAAAAGCTATTATTGATATCCTTCAAGTTAAAGTTAGATTTTCTTGATGTTTTTCACAGGTTTGCTAATGCATTCAGTTATTATGGAATTGTACTTTTAACTACAGAACTGTTTGCCTCTGGTGAAGAATGTGCAGGTAATATCACTATATACACTGTATATACTCGCTTGTAAGGCGATCCGCGTATAAGACGATCAATCCCCCGAGTTTAAGAAGATTTTTTGACAATTTTTGTATGTTGACCCTTGTTTTTCGATCTCAATTTGCTATTTAAAGCCTTGCCTTATACGCGAGTATATACAGTACTCGTTTAGTTTATTACATAAACAGTTCATCAATTTTTGAAGCTGTTTTATAACCTTCATCACATATAGTTCCTTAGTAGGTCTTCTACCTTCATTGTTTGTACAAGGTTAATTCTAATCTCTAAAATGTGTACCTTGAAACAAATGACTGTTTGTAATCCATCCTTCAATTTCTGGGCCTTTAATGCACACAAACTTCAGTTTGGTTTTTTTTTTAATTGTAAACTGATTATTTCACTGGAACATCTATTTCATCTTAATTGATATTTTCTTCTTTTTTAGTTTCCGAATCATCATCTGAGCTACGCTGTGATGCAGAATGCACAACCCTTGGAACTAAGGATTACATTGACCTTCTTTGGACAACCTTAGCAGAATTCCCAGGTAAGTTGTGGCCAGGTGTTATTGTCCATTTTGATGTCTGATTTGTCTCACAAAAAATATTTTTTTATTAACTTGATTTTAATGGTCTTCCTCTTGATATGTTCACATTTCATCATTTTCACAATATGTCTTCTTACAATGTGCCACTAGTCAATGATTGTTAATAATTGTGTTTAGGCGAGACTTCTTTAAACCTTGTTTAGGTCCAATAATGATGATTTTGAATAAATATAAAATATTTTATTTTTAATCATGCCACCACAAAAAAAAAATCTTTTTTTATTATGCCCACCACTGCCTTGAAATAAATAAGATATGTATATTTCTTCCTAATTATATAAATTTAATTTAAAGCAATAACCATCTTACAAAAAATTGGATATGATTGTTTTTCAACATATGTACTGAAATACTCACCAATAATCTTCCTTCATATTACACAAATCAGCCCTCAAAATGGAATAAAAAATTGAAGGGCAGAGTGTACATACTAATATATTCTGTGTAAACTTAGTTTGTATATTTTTTTTCTTATTTATTATACTTCATTATTATATTCCTCTTTCCTTTTTATCATGAGGTACTAGTTTATACTACTATAGACCTCTATCACTTTTTATGAACCATATCGATGCAAATATTTATTGTTATATTAAACATTTTTTATGTTCATTTTATTGCAGGAATTATTTTAACTATATTACTTATTGATCTGATAGGCAGGAAAAAAACAATGAGTATATTATTTTTCCTGTTTGCAATATTCACCTTACTTGTACTTCTATGTACAACAAGGTAAGTCCAAAATTTTGATTGAAATATTCAGGAATGTAGCTATAGAATACTATGGGTGGGTGATAGATATTTTAAGGGTGGATAGGTGATAACATTAATAAACGCTAAATATTAAGAGTGGATTTTAAGGATGGAAATTTGGGGTAATAAGGGGGAGTGTAAAGCCATGAAATTGGCTTTAGACTGGGTGGAAAACTTCAAAGCTAGGTGACCCAGCCAACCATAACTACATCCCTGAATATTAATAGTAATATCAAAGATATTTTTTATCTTGACTTTTTACTAGCTTGCATATATGTAAAAAGTAATGGTGGTTTTCATATAAATTCTTTTCCTGGGCCCCCTCTATTTCAAATTACTGAATCCACCACTGATAGCAAACACGGTAACAGATGAGAAGTTCGATGATACATGCCCAGTAACTGCCCACTCTAACACCATTTAGTATTAAATTAATTTTTAACTTTTACTCTAAGTTCACCATACTAAAGCACTTAATATATAGGTCTCACTACAATATATAATAAATATTATGTTTGATTGATTGATTATTTTTTATTGCAGGACCATTCTAACAGTGTTTTTGTTTTGTGCGAGAGCATTTATTGTTGGCTCATTCCAGGCTACATATGTCTACACTCCAGAGGTAAAGAAATATTGTAATAAAATCTAAATATTTTGTTTATTATTTTTTTAATAATTATTGTTTATAATTTATATTTATAATATAAAATGCTAGACATAAAATAATAGAGTGATCTCATGTCAAATAGTTAGATGTAGATATTATGTACTATTTAAATTATTTCAGATAATTATGTAAATACTGTATACTATTAATAATTATAAAAAATGTATAAATTATAAATTGTTCTTTGAAGAATCGAATAAATCCTAGATATCTAAAATCATCAGTGACAGTCTGCATGGATTGTCATTAAAAACGACCTGTTGTGCATGCATCGTGGTGTTCCGTTCTCCACAGAATCATGCCGGCCGACAACCATGTCTGGCTTAACCTAGCAAAAAATATAGCAAAATAACGTACTGTGTGTGACGGCTGGCAACTCTATTCCTGTATATTCCTGATCGCAGGCATTCAAGTTATATGCATTTGATATTTTAACTGTTAACGCCATCTAAGTCAAATATATAATATGTACACGAGAATCCATAAAATAACACTTTTAAAACACTCCAAAAGGATTCCTATAAGTGTGCCAAATTTCATTTCATCCTTCAGTGTTTTTAGAGCCTTTAGCAGGCCCGTAGCCAGCATGCTTCAAGGGGGGGTTCTGGGCGTGGAGTCCAAGGGTCCGCCAAAGGGCCCCGGGTGGGGTCAAGGGGGGCGCTAAGCCCCTGTGGGGGCCGGGGGCGAAGCCCCCGAAGCCAAATTATCACAGATAACTGAAATTTTCGTTAGAATTTTCTTCTCATGGTCTTCTAATATCTTTCTCATACTGTGTAGGTATATCCCACATCTGTACGTGCAATTGGTTTAGGAGCTTGTAGTGGACTTGCAAGGCTTGGTGCAATTATAGCCCCATTTGTCTCACAGGTGAGTCTGGCATTTTATATTTACTGAGGGCATATTTTTGATATTTTACTAATATTTTCTAGAAGCTGTTGTTATTTGACCTGTGAATGAACTTGATAATTTATAGCTTTCTTGCTACACTGTAGTTTAAAATTATACGCATCCTTCAATGTCTCGAACGTATAAATAATTCTATTTCATCAATTATAAACTCTCTAGTCAGATTGCCGCAGCATGGTTTGTTACTTATGTTATCTTGAGTGCTATGCATAAAGTAAAAAAAGTATTGGTTTTAAAACACTCTGATGTTGTCCACAAACTGAAGCTAAAATTGACATCGTATTACATTTTCTGGACTACTGTAACTCACAGTCTACACTCTGTCCCCCTTCCCCAATGCCCTTACATACTGTATACATACCCACACACCCACCCTCATAAAATATCAGTCAGACACAGATTTCTTGTTCAGTTCAGTCTTGTGTTATAGACTCGGACACACAGACACATGCATAATAGACATATCTCACAGAACGACATACTGGCATAATCGTCAGTCACAGATGCAGACAAAAGCAAGTGCACACAAAATCTAACCTACTGGTCTGCAAATACTGTAATGAATGTTTATTGTTGCAAAGGGAAGAGTATTTTCATGAGTTGAAAGTTTGACTGTTCCATTCAATGAAGTGGATTCATTTTATAACACACCTAAAAATAGAAATAGATCCTTGTCATTTGATATTTTATGAACAATAATTAAGTCTGCCTTTCTTCTAAATGGAGCAGTCCATCTTCTTTCAACCAATGAAAAAAATGTATTAAGTGGAGGTGTGCAATGGGACAAAACGAATGGAACAAAAATGCATGGATGCAACTAAATTGATGTATGACGACACTATGGGCATGTTTCTGCTGAATAACACCAAAAACATGTGTTTTTTTTAAACGGGGAAATTCCTTCTGAACGCGTTTCAAGTAAAAAGTGTAACTAATAAAAACATGGTAATGCGAGCATTTTTGGTTTTTTTCCTGTTTCTGGTGGGGAAAAAACATGTTTTTTAATACCCATTTAAAAATATGTTTTTTTGCTCAGCAGAAACATGCCCTATGTTGTATTCTTGAATCAAGCTCAATTAAGCTGCACATTATATAACCATATACTGTAATCATTTTATTACTTGTACAGGTTCTGTTAGCCTACTCTGCTAAGTTAACAATTGGCATCTATGCTGGAACTACCATCCTCGCAGCCATTGCGTGCCTCTGTCTACCAATTGAAACCAAGGGAAGAGAGATGGTGGTAAGTTAACTATACAAAACTTCACCATAATTACTTTGGATTCTTCATCATAATTTGCTCATATGTCAAATTAGCGATGGTTATCTTCTGGCAAATTATCGCAGATAACTGAAATTTTCATTAGAATTTTCTTCTCATGGTCTTGCCTAGCAAAGTGGTCAATATTGGATGATCCTAAATTAGTAAAAGCTGTTTTGAGCAGATTTTGTACCAATTGTCTAGTTTTACATTTTTCTCATCAAAATAGTTCTTTTGTTTCACCCGAGTTGGGCTGTCTGACAATGTGAGCAGCAAATTTGACCTGCTGCTTCTTAGTGTAAAAAGACATGGCAGATTTGCTTCCTAAATGTGTTTATATGAAATAAATTGTTCCTGTTTTCAAAACTAAGAGGCGAAATAATTATGACGATTACCTTAATAATGATATAATTATAAATATATTACTGTAATGATGTTGAGACTTAACAAGCATAATTATTTAGATAGTATTAATTATGCTAAGCTATCACGGACATAAAACACTGATGCTGTCTGTAAAATTCCTAAATGATTTTTAATCAAACAATTTTTAAGATTTTAATATTTTAAAATACAATTGAAAAATTTTAAAAATGTAGTGCCACGTAAATCTAATAAATAAAGTAAATAAAAATGTATGTAATGTAATTTTATGGTGGCAGGATATCACTGAGAAAAAAACAATTAAGGGAAATTGTTAATTGGCTATTTAATATATTAATTAATTTCTTTTTTTACAGAATGCAGTGAACAGTAACCAAAGTCAGGAGACATATAATGAAGAAAAGACAGTGGACGGCAATTACCGACAAATGAATGATGGTACAACATAATGAAATGTATACAACTACAAGAAATTATACTTTAATATTAATGTACAGATTCCTATTCTGGATAAAACAAGAGGCTGTCATATACATAATTTATTATAATCAAAGTGACACAGGGTCATCAAGAAGATTTGTGGATGTTGGGTGGGGGAGTGGGGTAAAGGCATTATCCACTCAAAATGAGTCGCATGGTTGGTAATTCTAAAATTGAGTTTCAAATATATTATTTTTATTAAGCTTTCATAGGATATGTATATTGACTCAAAAATATATACTGTAATATAATATAATTATCACAGTATTAAAAAATGTATAGACCAATATTTCATGATAATATTAACTACAGTTTAACGATTATCTCAATGTTGTCTCACCAACGAATTCAAATAACCTTTAATCTTTAACCTTTAACTCATTTTGTGGTGGAACCCCAAAATGTATGGGACTGTACTCTTGACAATGGTTAAGCACAGATTTGTTGAGCACAGATCTTTGGCTGCCGGGCAGCTTACAAAGATAGCTCAGCCTAGATGAATATTTAAGGTCTACTGGGGATAAGTTGCTACTTTACTACCTCTCTGTGGTACTAATTATAAACTTATTTCGCTGTTGAAACTGGACTCAACTAATACTCTCGATCGCGCAACTGCATATGTAGAAAGAGTTGCCCTGAAGTCACTCCACTGTATGCAGCGCTGCCATAATTGTGTACAACATCAGCATACGCATCACATGGACAGTCACATGCACTGACAAGGCTACTGGATTAATATTATCACATGACAATTGCTTGTCAGAACGTGGGCAGTGGCTTTTTATCGCAAGGGGTGCTTATGTCTCCTCAGATAGCGTGATTCACAGCTACTTGGCATTACACTAGCAATGTCTTTGACACTGCATTCTAGCTAAAGTGGCTGTTGATACCTGACAATTACTTCTTGAAAGTCCACATTCAACCTTTTATGCCTGTTGAAAAGTAATTCTTACCTCATCACTGATTGGCTGTGAGGTCAACTGAAGAATTACATAAAGAACGCAATCAAAGTTTGTTGCAATCATCAATAATGCTCAGTCCACACTATCAAACTGTTATATGCCCTTATTTAGTCAAGATATGCCTATATATGGTCATGATGTGATGTCATCATGACTATATTTAGGCATATCACATGTTTTATCAACTAAAATTTGATAGTCTGGGCAGGACTTAATTCTATAATTCTATATTCAAAGTTTTTTTCAGGGAAAACAAGGATGTATATTTCTAAAAGAGTAAATTAATATATATATATATATATATTGTATATATTATAAATGTACATGTTGATATGGACAAATTGGTTATTTATTGTGCAAATATGATTCTGGCTAAATGTCATACAGTACCTTAATTGTATACACACTATATGAAACATTGTATAAAAATATTGGTAGTAATAGAATGTATAAGTAATTTAATTTAGTCTTAAGAGTAAATATTGAAATTTATATATGTATATATTTAAATAAAATTGCAATTCATTTGCTTTCATCTAGTGGCATCGACAAGTTTAATTTAAATATTTATATTAAACATACATTCTTTCTATTGCCTGTCTTCATAATTTCTCCAGTTCTTTAATCATCAAGAAAAATAATAAATTTTAAAAACTAACTAAGAAATGTCAAATGGGTAAAGGTATGGAGTGACCTGTCTCATAGCTATATGCTCTCAGGATTGGACAAAATCAATTTTGAACATTGCAAATTTACATTACTCAAACATTAAAAGCTTAACAATAACATGTTGGTACAAGGACCCCACTGCGGACTTACAGTAAGTGGTTTATTCTTGGTGTTCACACCGAATAAAACCAATACCAATAACTTTACAGGAAATCAGAGCATACTGTAACTATAACTATACTTTTATTACCATTTTCTTAATCGAAAAATACTGGTTGTGGTTCTTTGGTTTCAGAAACTGGCGCACTCTATAGGCAAACTTACCAATGCACTACTACGCCCTCTCAACTTTAAAACTTTTTCGTACGTGTAAATTACTCTATGATTAATCCACAACTACACGAACATTGATAACTGTAAAAGTAGGTGGTAAGCTAAACCTTGTATTCTGTGTGGTTATGTTCTGTGTTATTTATAAATGCATAGATATTTTGGTCTTACGTTGTCTTAAGTATTTTTGTGTATTAGAAATCTGATAGGATTTGGAAAGTACATGTGTAGACCATTATGAAATGTGGTTGGTTCTTAGCTGCTTATGCATCGTGTAGAACCAATATAGAGCTCTATTGAAGATATAATGTATATGGCAGATGAGTCTTGTGTAGCATATTTCACAATATACGTTTCAGAAAAAATGTAAATGTTGAGATGATTAATGAATAAATTTAAAATCGATATATATTTGACATTCTGAAGTTCCTTGTTTTTGATAAAGATAATGAGATATTGTACATTGTACGCACATAGTTAGGGCTTTGGTGGTGAATGACCCCAATATGCCAAATGGCGCAAGTCTAACCCCTTCGATATTGTATCTATAGTCCCACAATATAGAAACTGAGTGTGCAGTCGAAAATACAGCTTCGTTGTTGGCAAATCCAGAAAAAAACCTTATTTCATTTCTCTCTAATGGGAAATATGCCTAAATGCTATAACAAATACACGTGTAGCCCTATGCACATCGTTAACAGGTAAATCAAAGCTACAGTGTTTGAATAGGAGCACGTGATGTTGTTGCTGGTTCTTAATAGGCGAGCAATTAAAAAAATAAAAATTAAATTAAATTATTTATAAAATATTTAAAGAAACTAAAAGTAGTAATCATTAGATGAATTTTTTTTTCTCAATATATTGAAGACCAAAATGCAAAACTAGGCCATTTTGAAGTAGAGGTGACCTCACTTGGATCTAGAATTAAATCCGTTACCAACCAATCGACAAACGCCCAAGTTAGTCTTAGTTCAGCTAAATATGACAGCAGATACGGCGAGATTAAAATACTTTATCATAGATTTGTTTATTATGAGTAGACCCGAGATCTTAAGGTGAAGTGTGTTTATACTTCAAAGGACATAGCATCTGGCTTTGCCAGACAAACCATATCCGTACGAAATTAGTTGGAAATTGATCAAATATAATGCAGGCATACAGTGGAATGGACATAAAACGTTACTTTTTTCAGGTCTCTAACAGCACCCAAATGAATGGAAATTTAAATAGAATTCCCACTTTTATGGGTTTCAGGAATCAATTAAATACGGCCTCAAAATGCTATTTTGTATTGTAATGTGGTTAAATGTTGTAAAAACAGTAATATTGTACTGTAAATAGAATAGAATTTGAAACTGCCAAATATAAAGGTCTTTGAAGATGGCAGGGAGCTTCGGCCACAAGAAACGCTCACCCTATCGGCGACAGTCGCCGACAGTTATCGGGAAGGTTGAACCTGGTTAAACTCTGCCGATTGCGTTACGAATCAGGGTGCATTGCTAGCTGCCGACGCAATCAGGATGGCACCCCGATTCGTCTGCAACGCAATCAGCAAAGTTGAACCAAGCCTTAATTCCATCAAGTGTAACACGTTGCTTGGGACTCGGAGAATATCTTTGGCCCGTGAGATCAACTCTAAATAAAATTTGGCCCTTCAGATAAATTAATTAAGAACCTGGACCGGCAACGGTATGTATGGCACTCGCCTTGATAGCGAGCGGTTATCGATCCTGCCAGACCCATTTTCATACAACTGAAAATGACACATTCGTGGAAGGGATACGCTAGACGATTACGATATCACATGAGAAAATATAAGAGGGTAAATAGATGTCTTGTACTTTGAAAGACCCAGGAAAATAATACACATTTCCCATTTATAGCTTGTGTATAGGATATGGAGGGGATGTGTGGGATCGTCTGCTTTGTGGTTGATAAAAAAAAAAAACAACAACAAAAAAAACATAAAACGCTGTTTTGCTGCCGTTTGATTGCTTGAGTTTGATACAGTATATTAATTAATTATTAAACTTTTCATTATATTTCTGGTTTTTTTTATTTTGTTTTGGTAATTAATAATCAAGATTTCTAAAGTACTGCCTTTTGTGTTTAATGACTGACAACAGAGTGATGATAAATCTGAATAGCAAATGATGTAAAGTGCAACTCTATTCAATACTAATATTCAAAAATTGTTAAAATACATTTTCCAAATCCATAAGTGGTGTTTTTAAATTCATAAATATGTACAATACATAAATAATGTATGACTGCCTATAGACCCTCACATACGGTGGTATAATCAATGTTAATTCAATCACTACAAGCAAAATAACAAAGATGAAAGACAGTTTTACGACTTAAAAGCCGTAAACTAAACTATAAATCACACGAAACAGCTGTTCTTCAAAAATGAGATTGTAGCGTTATACAATACAGCACACACATTAAAATGTTATTGTTTTTCAGATTATTAGGAATTTTATTGGGTAATTAAAAATAATAAACTTATAATGTAAATACAATGTATTCGTGAATCACAGCAATTATTATATTTTTCCTAATAGAACTGAACTTGTATCGTGCATTGTTGTAAGCTGGTAAGTAACAAATTTTACAATATAAATGATAATGTTGCTTCAATCTTATCATTATGGGGAGGTGAAAATGTTAAATTTATGTGGTATACAACATAGATGGTTTAGAAAATATCTGCATGGCTTTAAC